GGGGGAGGGTTACTGCCCTTTGTGATGTCACAGGGTAATTCTCCAAACGGCCTGTTTGAGCACACATTTTCTGAAAAGTGGAGCAGGAGAAAGACAGAGAGGATGGACTTTTCTCATTATTATTTTTGACAGGCTAGGAACACGTATTAGAGTTAAACATGGTAAAGTGTATTTTGCATAATATGTGACCTTTAAGTTAGGGTTGGTGAAGCCAGATGTTGAAGTTATATCCTGGTTATGTTGAACTAGTACAGGTCGCAGGTCTTAAATTGATTATGAAATAAAATCTCTAAACTATATATTTTCTGATTCAGTGCATCATGAATTTTTTTTTCTTCAGCTTCTTGTGAACAGGAGCAAGAGGAAGAGGAGAAGGAGGGCAGATAAAGCTCTGACAGGCAGTGAGAAGGTCAAAGTCATCAACATGAGGACAGGAAAGAAGGTGAGACCAACAGGCCCGCTATCATTCAACTGATTTAATTTGTCTGTGTGTGAGGTTGTCATGACGCCAGAATTTTAAACTTTGATACGTAGGAGTAAATAATCAACACCATAGCCACAATTATGTAAGTCCTAGCCTCCCAGTATTTGGTCATTTCTTTTTTGATTACCAAAGATTACTGGCAAACTCCAACACATCGTCAAAATGACACCAATAAACGTTGCCAAGGCATTTAACACTTACGAACTGAAGAAGCGTCAGTATTTGCCAACCTGTGAATTTGAACCGACGACTGCTGCTCTCCCTCTAGCTCACGGCAGATTTTGTTAAATATGACTGAAGATCCGTAGTTATTTTTATGCTTTGGTACTTTTTCATGCTATCAATCATTAAAAGACAGAGACTCTATCATTTCAAAAGACGTGGTTTTGAAGAGTATCAGAGCGTTGACAATTTGACAACCTTAGCTGTGTGTTTTCGCTTGTTGACAAATACAAATCTAAATGTTTCTCCTCTTTACAGGTTGGAAATGCTTTCTGTCCGATGTTGCAAGACCTGAGAGAATATCTGGAGGAGAATGCTGATAACGCTGTAGCACCCGAGTGGTCTGACGCTGTTAGAAACTCTGTACGTACACAAAACCTGCGTTGTTTAGAAATGTAACTTTTTATTGAATATGATTCCCTCTTGTCCTGTTTTTTTGTAAACACTGTTACATGTATCATGTTTTGCATGTCTGTAACACATCTGACTCGTTAAGACTTTGTAACAGTAGTTATCTCCGCATGAGGGAAAGGGAAAGTCTCCTCAAAGCATCCTGTTTTATGATACAGTGTAGACTTTCTAATGTAACTGATGTCTCTGTTTCTCACAGGGCTTCCTGCCTGAGACCTTCTTCCACAGACTGCTGACCGAACACTCAGAGGTCCCCAAGAAGAGCCGACGCCGGCATCACCATCACCACCACCACCACCACACTCCAGAACCCACGTCCGAGGACCCCAACCTGGACGGAGTGGAAGAGGAGACTCTGGTCTCAGACGGAGCCTACATGATGGACGAGGAGGACCTAGAGGCCTCCCATCACTTCCTCACCAGCCCAGACTTTGACGTTAAAATGGAGGGTGGCGACAGCCTCTCCCAAGGTGACTATGACAGCTCAGATCAAGAGGCGCTATGGACGATGTCATCCTGGCACAGAAAGACTCTGACTCCTCGTCAAGCTCCGAGGATTGACTGAACCTCGCTCTCTGAACACATCAAACTGAGTCCCTGTCTCAAAAAATGAATCATGTTATTCCTCATTTATTTTTACCATGTTATGTATCAAATTATGGATGACTGTTTTTGTTGTTACTTTTATTCATTAATTTTATATAGGATTTTTTTTTCAATGAAAGGAGCAGCTTTGCACCCATCTGTTTTATTTCTCAACATCGCAATCGTGTTCATTTCATCTCCTCGATCCTCCTCTCTAACCTCTGACAAAATGGCAACAAGCTGAGCTTTCTTACTTCACGATTTGTCATCCCTCCTCCTCTTCCTCTGAAGCTTTTCTTTCCCATCACATTCCCAGCCATGACCAAAACGGGACCCCTGCTGTACAGACTCCCTTTTCTTATCTAAAACCTCAATGCTGGTCCTCTAGCGCTACATGAAACTGGACATGTTTGATGCAGAGCCCTGGATCCAGATCCCACAATCCCCTGCTCTCGTCTGGTCATGTGTTCCACGTCCAGACGGGTCTGTGAACTAAACGGGGGTCCTGTGTGTGGATGTACTGTTATTGTTTTCACTCTATGGGATGGTGGGATTAGAGGGGGGAGGGGGACGGTGGCATATTAGTTACTGAAGCTAGGAGGATGGATGTATTGTACAATGTAGAGCTGGTCCATTGTGTACTATGGTGCAAAGATGACGGCGATGAGTTACTATTCTTGTTTTATGATCTGAGTGTATCTGTGAAATGAATAACAGCAATCTACAGTGAGAGCAAGTTTCTGTGTGTTATTGTGAGTCAAACCCAGCAGAAGCACTCAGGAGGTTTGCTTTTTTGACACTAAGGTGGTTATGTCCATTCATGCAAGAGTTATATAATTGTGTCAAAATGACAGCAGATGACTGCATAGGAGCTAATATTCAAATGAATTATGAACTACAGTTTTATGGCAGCAATGTCAACTGACAAAGAAATCTGGAGACTTTAAGGACTGAAAGTTGAGGTAGGTAACTGCGAGACAAAACAGCAACAGAAATCTGTTTCAGTTTCTAAAAAGAGAAATGTCAAGGCTAGCTAGCAAACAGAAATGCATGTCCCCTGCCTCACAGTGGAGGAAGGGTCCAAGAGAGCATCAGAGAAATGAAGCCAAGTGCATCTTGGTCATAATTAACTGCATCAACTCAACTTTCTCTGCCTTTCTTGCACCACGAGCTTCTAAGAGACTCCTCTAATGCACAATGTCATGTAGGTAGGTAGACAGTTTGGTACACATAAAATGATAAGACAAATGTATTACTCACCCCTTTCACCTTTTCTTTTTACATATGTTTGGATTTCTGGATAATTTTTTTTTTTTTTTTATTTACAAGGAATGCATTGAAAGATAAATTGCCAGCTCTGCTCTCATGAATAATACTACCTCATCAAGGGAGAGCTGAAGTCCTGTCTTCCAAAGCCTGTGATCACTTTGTAGTTCTTGATTTTCAAGAACTCGACAATGTTCAGTTGATTTTTCTAACATTTTAGCTACAACATGTGTCAAAAAGCTTAAATTATTTAAAAAAAAAAAAAAAAGTTTCAATACATACAGAAAATTATAATCTTATAAATAATGTTTTTCTTTCATGAGCGATAGATAACCCAGTAAGCTGCTTGTGTATGAGGTGTCCGACTTCAGATGAGAGAAAGAAGGCTAAAATTAAAATCACTTCGTGTTCAGAGCTGCGTGTCATTGTATCGATCAATCTTTTCAAAGGATGGACTATTTTGTATTCTAAGGAGGCAGTGATGTAATACTGCATCCTGAGAGGAGGTGGTTTTGCTCTGTGGAAAGAACAACAATCAACAACTCAAATGTGCTGAAGTTGATAACTGGCAGCTTTACATGAAGAGGACTGATGCGCCTAATCACTAATGACGAATCAAATACAGACTGTGTTTGTGTTTATTTTGTTTCAATTGTGCTCATTGTTTCATTTTTCATGAAACAATTCATCAAAGTCTGAAGTAGAGGAGTAGTGTATATACAGAAATCAGAAGAAAATGAGCCAGGGGTACGTCACCATACAGCAAGGGTTCCCAAACATTTTAGCTCGCAACCCCGAAAGTACAGGGTGCAAGAGACTGTGGACCCCCACTGTCCCTAGAGGGGGTTTAGGCATAAAATGTAGCACACACACACAGACAAATATACCTATCCAAACACTGGTAACAAAAGAACACAACATCCTATAAGCCATAACATTATTTTAGAGAGTAATTGATTGTAAGAAAGGCTAGAAGCAGAATCCGAGAAATTTCCATGCACAGACTTAAGCACTGAGTGGACAAGACTTCATAAATAGACACACAGGTGTGATTATCTTGAGGTGTAGAGATGCGTACATTGCCTCTGTCATTATATTTTAAGTAAGTAAGTTATCATTACAGAGTGTGTCAGGTAAGTTGATCACTTTACCATCACAGCATCCAAAGAAAGAAATCTATTCCACACTACCAAGTCCTCAGAGCGGAAAGGTTGCCATTGAGTGTCACGATGAAGCCTCACTGAACTGAAGACAGGATTATACTCTGTTGTGTCGTAATGGGTCATTTCACATGCAGAGTTTTGGCCCTAGGGAACAATGCTGTTATGAAACATGCCAGTATAGTTTATTCTTTATTAGAGTATTTAATATTGACTTATCTCATTGTTGTTTGCAATATATATTATTTATATATTCATTGCTATTGTCTGATAAACTTTGACAGTCCAGAAAAAAACCTGCTGGCACTGCAGAGTAAACACCCCATCACCACAGATTGTATAATAAGATTATTGATATACAGCCAATGAGTTACCCTCAGGTGAAGTGATGTAAACATCAAGTTGATAGGCTCCAATGACATTATATATAGATGTCAGATTGAGTTTATTTTATCTCTTAATGTCGAATATATATATTTTTTTTTTTTTCAAAATTATTTTTATTGACCTTTCATGGATGCATGTTCACATTGCAATTAGATGGCACAACAGCACATTCGAACCAAACATCCACAGTAGGTAGATACAGAAATGACTGTGAACATTAGTGGTGTGGGAAAGAACGTTAATGTCGAATATTTAATATATCTTTCGAGTAGCTTTGAAACTTTCTGAACCGCCGTTTCATCAACATTTTTTATAGCACGGCATTTTCCGATAGTCAGTGAATGCACCGCAAATTACTGCTTCCGGTTCACGGAGGGTGGTGGTTGTAGCATCCCTCCTGCTTATGAATGGGTTTTGTTTGGCGTCCTGTTAAGTTTGCGCCTCCCACGTAATATTTTGTCAACAAAGGTGTGCTTATTCGGGTGTAAACAGCATTAAATTGACTCCTTGTCCCGGTTCTTTTTAGGGTCTCCAAACAAAAGTAGCTTAGCATCGTCACGACACTAACAGTATGCTAACCCACGGTAGCTAGCTAGCCGCTAGCAGCTTAGGTTATTTCTTTTTGATTACTTCACTTAAATGGGAATTAAAATAAGTAATTTGAATTTCCACAACACTGCAAAGCAAGTGCTATTGTGTTAAGAGTGCGAAGTTTAAGAATGGACCTTAATTTTTACTCTGACTTGACGGATGGTTGTGCTCAAAATGTTGATCCGGAGTTTCTGGACACTCAGGCGTATGGCGGATACTCAGGGGAAAACAAGGTAACACGTCTCTCTCTTAAACCACTACCTGTTTTTAACAACTGTAACGTCTGTTGCGCAATAGTTACCAAGTTATCACTACATTTCAGTTTCCAGAAGGAGGCGACAATTATCTGAACATCAGTGGAGCGGGTCATCCTTTCTTATCCGCCGAGGTCAGTGAGTTCAGACATGTTAGTGTTCAGACATGTTAGTGTAATGTAACAGTGAGTTCAGACATGTTAGTGTAATGTAACATGTTAGTGTAATGTAACATGTTAGTGTAATGTAACAGTGAGTTCAGACATGTTAGTGTTCAGACGTGTTAGTGTAATGTACCAGTGAGTTCAGACATGTTAGTGTAATGTAACAGTGAGTTCAGACATGTTAGTGTAATGTAACAGTGAGTTCAGACATGTTAGTGTAATGTAACAGTGAGTTCAGACATGTTAGTGTAATGTAACAGTGAGTTCAGACATGTTAGTGTAATGTAACAGTGAGTTCAGACATGTTAGTGTAATGTAACAGTGAGTTCAGACATGTTAGTGTAATGTATCAGTGAGTTCAGACATGTTAGTGTTCAGACATGATAGTGTAATGTAACAGTGAGTTCAGACATGTTAGTGTAATGTAACAGTGAGTTCAGACATGTTAGTGTAATGTAACAGTGAGTTCAACATGTTAGTGTAATGTAACAGTGAGTTCAGACATGTTAGTGTAATGTAACAGTGAGTTCAGACATGTTAGTGTTCAGACATGTTAGTGTAATGTAACAGTGAGTTCAGACATGTCAGTGTAATGTAACAGTGAGTTCAGACATGTTAGTGTAATGTAACAGTGAGTTCAGACATGTTAGTGTAATGTAACAGTGAGTTCAGACATGTTAGTGTAATGTAACAGTGAGTTCAGACATGTTCGTGTAATGTATCAGTGAGTTCAGACATGTTAGTGTAATGTAACATGTTAGTGTAATGTAACATGTTAGTGTAATGTAACAGTGAGTTCAGACATGTTAGTGTAATGTATCAGTGAGTTCAGACATGTTAGTGTAATGTAACAGTGAGTTCAGACATGTTAGTGTAATGTAACAGTGAGTTCAGACATGTTAGTGTAATGTAACAGTGAGTTCAGACATGTTAGTGTAATGTAACAGTGAGTTCAGACATGATAGTGTAATGTAACAGTGAGTTCAGACATGATAGTGTAATGTAACAGTGAGTTCAGACATGATAGTGTAATGTAACAGTGAGTTCAGACATGTTAGTGTAATGTAACAGTGAGTTCAGACATGATAGTGTAATGTAACAGTGAGTTCAGACATGTTAGTGTTCAGACATGTTAGTGTAATGTAACAGTGAGTTCAG